TCGGGTGCATGGTTACATTAATATTGCTCCTACGATCATGAGCTTTTTGCCTCCGTTGAGATGACCAGAGACGTAAATAACTTATAATAAATGCGTCTCCGAAATGGCGAATGATTACCCAAGTGGCCACAATATCCCATTAGCATGGATAAACTCAGAAACATTAATACAAATACGTGTAAATTTTCATTGGAAATTTGCTATATATTTTGTTCATATATATTTATGATTTCTTATTAGAGAAAATTATAAAATAACAAATATATATCTAGTAGACTTAGTTCAAATTACTTTCGTCTTCTCTGATTTGAACACCGTGATTTAGCGTGAATGTAATACGCACGCGCAAGATTGTAAAATCCAAAAAATCCAGATGATTTCCGGAATTTTTTGAGGAATTTTCGTTGATTATTAATTAGCGAAGCTTAATTGAGAAAAAATAAAAACAAATTGGTAATCTTCAAGTACCAATGATGCTTAAAATATATAAAACAAACGACAGTACTCTTCCGATTTATCGGTATTAAAGGCCAAAAATTCGAGTCTATTATTTTAATATAGTAGTATAGATGGACACTATGAATTACAGTAAGATAACATATCCAAATTTATTTATAGAGCAAAAATTCAGCTTATATAAATTTTGCAATCTCTTGAACTCCTTGATCCTTTGTTGGTTGGGGATTCATCCATGATATTACAGAACTCCTAAAACGCGAGTCTCTGGCAGCACTTCTTGAGGATTCCATTGACAAAGGTTTTTTTTTGTATTGGGTCCTAAATTCAAAACACACAAACACACACAATGAGAAAGAGAGAGATAGATATCTTTACTATATTTAGTTGAGATATTATTAATCTGGTTATCATCAGATTTCAAAGCATAGAAAACTAAGATTATCGATTATTCATTTCAAAACAATTTCACAAATTTCTCTTTTTCCATTTTATTTATTTAAAGAATATTTAGGGTCTTTCGTCTTAAGCGGAAGACCCTTAATTCTGTCATTGTACTGTGTCCTTATCTTCTTCTTATTTTTCCCACATCAATAACTCAGTAACGGTTCGATGAATTTTCATGAAACTTTCAGAGATATTAGAGGGTAAAGTTTTCTCGAGGCTTCTCTTTCATTTTTCATCACTTATGACCTGTTTTCAACGTTTTGATGCAAATGTGAGTCCTACTCATCCGAAATAACACAAGATTGAAATATGAAATTTTCAGAAATGATAATTGTTTCTTGTAGATGTTACATTTGAAATTTTAAAGAGGTATTTAAATTTTTCAATTTTTTTAAATAAAATTTTTCAAATAATATAATTTTTTCAAATTTTGAAAATCTTTACAATAGGGCTAAAGGCCAGAAAATTTTGAAGCTTGAGCAAGTTTTCAAATTTTAAAATTCTTTAATTTAATTGAAAAAATCCATTCAATTATTTAAATTATATTTTTTCCCCATGGCAAAGATTTCTAGAATGGCAAGGACTTGATCGATTTCCATCTTTTAGGGCACAACAGAACGTCAATAATTCGTCTCCTTTTTGTAATATTTTGTTTAAAAACGATTTTGAGTGCAAAATATATCATTGAAAAGCATCAATTAAATGAAAGTTTGTTGGTCGATTTCCATTAAAGCTTCTGAAGATTGCAATATTAATCATAATAGATAATTACTCGTTGATGAGCATGTCTCATTCAAAATATCATTTTATTTATTTATTTATATATTTATTTTTGAAATTTTAAAAATTTTATTTTGAAAAAAATTTCATTTTAAATTTTTTTCTACTTTTAAAAATGTTAATACTGTTCAAGTAGATCTTGACGAGACCTTTTCCAAAGTATATTTATTTTTATTGTATGTACACTAATAAAGAAAATATGAGCTCAGCTGTGTTAGTGATTATTGACCGTGCATGTTTAAGTCATTTTCAGATATCCTTTGATTACCTTAAAATCAAGAGGCCTATGGGCCACAACGCTCAACTTTGGTCCTACTGTTCTGCATCAGCTTTTTTCCCAAAATGCATGTATTCGTATGTCAAATTTTGACTGTCTTTTTTGGCCCAACCCTTTTTACAGGGGCCGTGATTTGAACAACAAGAGGCCCATGGGCCACAACGCTCACCTGAGTAACTTTGACCTTGCTGTTTTTCACCTGATTCCCCCTTGTAGTACTTATTGTAGCCACGCCCTACCCCCAGGGGTCATGTTTTGAACAATTAGAATTAACACTACCCCAGGATGCTTCCACTTAAGTTTCAGCCTTTCTGGCCCAGTGGTTCTTGAGAAGAAAATTTTTAAAGATTTTTATTACATATTTCAATGTAAAACTTGGATTCCCTGTTGTGGCCCTGCCCTACTCCAGAGGGTTATGATTTAAACAATTAGAATCTACACTACCTCAGAATGATTCCACATAAGTTTCAGCTTTTCTGGCCCATTGGTTCTTGAGAAGATTTTTAAAGATTTTTACTACATATTTCAATGTAAAACATGGATTCCCTATTGTGGCCCCGCCCTTGCCCCGGGGGTCATGATTTAAAGAATTTAGAATCTACACTACCCAAGGATGCTTCCACATAGGTTTCAGCTTTTCTGGCCCAGTGGTTCTTGAGAAGAAGATTTTTTAATGACCCCACCCAATTTTTGTCTTTTCTTGATTATCTCCCCTTTGAAGGGGGCTTGGCCCTTCATTTTAACAATTTAAATTCCCCTTTACCCATGAATGCTTTGTACTACGTTTGATTAAAATTAGCCCAGTGGTTCTTGAGAAGAAGTTGAAAATGTGAAAAGTTTACAGACGGAAGGACGGACAACGGGTGATCAGAAAAACTCACTTGAGCTTTCAGCTCAGGTGAGCTAAAAATGAATCTACATGTACACTACAAGAGGATGTTTCCACTTTGATATGATTCATCATTGCTTTGCTGTTTGAATTCTTGAGTAAAGGAGTTTTAAAAGATTTTTCTTTCACAAAATTTTCAGCTTTTCTGGTCAAGTGGATCTTGAGAAGAAGATCTTTAAAGATTTTACCTACATATTTCAAAGTAAAACTTAAATTTCTTATTGTAGACCTATCCTATCCCCGGGGCAACAATTTGAACAATATACAATCTGTACTACCTCAGGATTTTTTTCACATTAGTTTTAGCTTTTCTGGTCATAGAATTCTTGAGAATAAGATTTTTAAAGATTTTTGTTATATTCTCAGTAATTCAATGTAAAAATTTGATTCCCTAATGTGGGCCTACCCTATCCCCAGGGGACATGATTCGAACAATTTATAATCTACGCTACATCTGAAAACTTTTACTTACATAAGTTTTAACTTTTTGGTCCTTTGATTCTTGAGAAGATTGTTTTAAAGACCCTATCCTATTTTTGCCCTTTCTTAATCATATCCCCTTGGTAGGGAGCTTTGCCCTTCATTTTAACAACTCAGGACTCCTTTGCCCAGGGATTCTTTGTACACACTTTGATTAAAATCGAGTGGTTCTTGAGAAGAATTCGAAAATGTGAATAGTTTACAGACGGACGGACAGAAGACGGACAAAGGGTGATCAGAGAAGCTCACTTGAGTTTTCAGCTCAACTGAGCTAAAATCATTACTTTTTTATTTTCTGAAAGACTTTTAAACTTTTACACTGTCAAATAGATCTTGACGAGACCTTACCATTAGCGTATTTGTTTTTATTTCTAGTGCACGAATAAAAAAAAAATGAGCTCAGGTATATTAGCAAGTTTTGACAGCTAGCGCATGTAAGGATCATTATCTAGAGCAACTTGAGTACATATCGCACTCTCAGAGTCATGGCAGATTTCTTTTGATTTATTTAAAAAAATTCATTTTTCTTTTATTTCTTGACCGATTTTAAAACTTTTTACATCGTCTATTAGATCGTGACCATTCCTTTCCGACATGTTTGTTTTGATTTTAAGTTCACTAAAAAAGTAAAATTTGAGCTCAGGTTTATAAGCAATTTTTGAAAGCACGTGTCAAAGAAAATTTCAATTCTTTTATTACTTAAATTCTTAAAAAAAAACTTTTTTATTTCTTAACCGATTCTAAAATTTCCATAGTGTCAAATAGATCTTGACAAGACTTTTCGAAAGTAAATTTGTTTTTATTGTTAATACACTTATGTTGTACATTTAATTTAGGTGTCTCTTTCACATTACGAAAGAATCTTAACTATCCTCTGTATTCTATCAATTTCGTTCATTGTCTTTCTTTCCGGCTGCTGATTAGTTGATATTTTGAAATTAGAGATTAGTGATGTTTTGAACTTGACAACGGTAGCTAGGTATCAGGCTAGGGGGAGGATTTGACAAACCATCCAATCAAATTTCAGACAGTGGAGCTAATAACTGCACTCCTGTTACCCCTAATTCCACAATGTCTATTTATAACCACTTACCAAGAGTTTTCAACTCTACATCGACAATTATAGACAAGACCTATACATCGGGTTTTTGTTTTGATTTTTAGTGCATACTTACTAATAAATGAATAAATAAATAAAATCAAACAGGTTGTAATTTTAAAAATTCATTAAGTGAAAACAATCAAAATCTGAAATCTCTTTGAGATGCGTTAAAAACTCATTTTTATTATTTGGAAGACAAAAAGCATAAAATCATTTCAAATTGGACACATTTGAGATGAAATAAGACGCTTCCATCTCAATAATCTGTACCTATACATAGTGATATTTTGATCTCTTGTTACGTGATAAAGTGGTCTAAAGGGGCCGGATTACAAAATTTTTAATCATTTATATTTTGAAACAAGAATTAAAGTTTGAAAAGCAGTTCGAACGAGAGATGTAGTGAATTCTTATTTGATTCATCAGAGTTAATCCAAAGTAAGGAAGATCTTGATATTTTTTTTTATCGACAAATCCATCTTTTCTTATTAGAAATATCAGATATCAGACGGAAAACCCACTCGCTGTTCGCAGGTTATAGTTTTTTACCTTTTAATAGGTAATGACTTTTACTGGAGATATTTAATTTTCATCACTTGTCCATTCAAACATTGAGCAACAAACATGTTGTCATTAGAATCAACACACAGTCCATAGGGTTTCATCAGTCCACAGTCTATGAAACAGAGGAACTGTCCATTCAGGTCTATGATGTGCACACAGCTATTCTTAATATCAGCTATTAGGATGTTATATTGGCTGTCTGTAGTGATTCCTTTAGGACTAAATGGTTTGTTCTTTGGAGTAGGAATGTGTCCTGTGTACCCGAATTTCAGTTTTCCAGCTTGATTGACCACCACTACGGCTTTAGCTCCATTGTCAGACACACAGATATCCAGGTTCCTGTTCTCTGTTATGTATTTGGTACTAGAGCCGAATGAATAGAGAGGTTTACCTTTATCATCAAACTGAATGCTTTGTTTCTCTGTGGATCCAGAGTAACGGATAACTTTTGTGTGTTTGTAAACATAACTGTCTATGATAACCAGGAGGTCACCAGAGGAATTACTATAGACACCGCGAGGTCTCCAGTTCTGAAGTCTGATCACCTCCTCTATCTTTTCATTTTTCAAAATGTTCACAGTTCTATAATTATAATCATTATAAACTAGATCTCCATTTTTTGTCACTGATATGTCCCCTGGCATGTGCCCTGACTTGGTTCCAGTTGAGTTGAGTAGTAATCCCTGACTGGTGCTGAAGAGTTTTATGACGTTGTCATTTTCACCTGCCCAGATTTTTTCATCACTCAGACAAGCAATATTGAAATGTTGTGTATAACAAGAGTTTTGTCCATAAAAAGAGTTAAAATCATCACAAGGATTTTTTATCATAATTGAAGTGACAGCTTCTGGTTCAACAAGCAGTTGTTTGATTGGAGCAGAAGATCCGGCAGTTGATGATTTTTGTGTAAAATTCATACTATTTCCATCTTCTTCCGAACATAAAGAACTTGTTAAAACTCCAAACAACTGACTAAATTCATCGCCTTCAGCTCTACCTGGTATGAATTCAGGCAAAGAAGACACAAATGTTTGTGGAAGCTGTCTATATTCATCTACGTTAGGTTTTAAAGTGCAGAGTTTGGAAATATCTTCAGAGTCTAAAGCAGCATCAAGTGAATTGATTTCATTCCAGATTTCAGAAAGTATCTGTTTGATTTCGTTAAGGTATTTCTGTAGAGTATTTATCTGTGTTTTTTTCATCTCATCAACTTCAGATTTGAGTTTCTTTTCAAGATTGTCAATCTCTCCATGCAGGTATTTTCCGTGTTTTGTTACAGCCATGGAGAGATCTCCAAATTCTTTTTCTAACTGAGTCATTCTGTTTTCTAAATCAGATGCAATGTTCTTGTAGGTCGGATAAATTATATCATTTAATTCAGTCCTTTCTTTCATGATGCCGTCCCTTTTTTCGTCTAGAACTTGCAATACTTCTAATAATGTGTGACCTAGATGTTGACCAGATGCAAGGCACTTCATGCAGAGAGGAATGTTACATTGTTTACAATACGTTTTACATTGCTCGTTGACATGGGTAACACAGTCAGAATAAATGGGAGTAGATTTTCTCTTCTTGAAATTTACAATTTTGTGAGGTTTTGAAAGGTCGGCAAAAGCATGGTCACCCACGCAGTCTTTACATAGGCTTACAAGGCAAGTATCACAGTGCATCTGTACCATTGCAATATTACACATGTCACATTGTATATCACCTTGGGCATTGAAGCGGGGATCCATTATTTAATCTTCTTGTCCTGGGAAACAATTTCATAATACAAAAAATTTCAAATGACTTTGAGAGCACAGTTTATGAAATTTTGAAAGCAGATCAGTGAAGCGTAAAGATTCTGAATATAACTCAAATTTTCAAAACCCTGTATTGAATAAAAGTACATGCATGTATTTTTTTCTTTTAAGAATGTTGAAAAGTTTGCCGAGTCTGATGCCATTTATGCTTAATGTCAGAATGTAAAGATGTAAACTGGTACATTTCCTATCTGTGGTTGTGACTTTGTGAACGAAATTCAGTATAATTTTGGAACGTTGAACCCTTGTATTGATGGTAACAATAAAAATTATTGAATAAACCTTTTTAAAATATTATAAGGAGAATTCCAAGCATAATTAAAAAAAATTAAACCCACAAATCTTACCTGACTCAAAAACAGTAATGGCGGGTGTCTTGTCGGCCTTAAAAGCTAAATATATCCCGTCCCTGAGAACTTGCATCACATGACACTTACCTATACATACTAGTATCCTATACCTGTCTGGAGAAAAACTTCCTGGTTGTCATGTTATTTCAATAATTAGAATTTTAACTGGAAGTACATTAATTTTTGCGTCTTAAACTGCAATATTTTCTGCATAAGCACTTGAACAGAAATATTAAAAGAAAATAATCAAATACAAACAAAAATATGATCAGAGTAAACCTTGAATTTGCTTTAATGAATCTGATGATGAGGTGTATACCATTTAAAGATCACCGAAGTGTCAGGTATGATTTCGGATGATGACTTTCCAGAGTTATTCAGATTGTTGGAGGAGGACGGGGGGGGGGGGGATTTGTGCAATCACAACTAACTTTGCTTAAACCAAAAAGAAATATGAAAATGCCTCTTTTGATGGTTATACTTACTTATTCTTCCATGGCACCTGATCCCACCTCTGATGTTTTTTAGAAGGTCCGTGTTTGCTCTGCTCCCAATTTGTACTATTTCAATGGATTTTTGAGCTTGATTACTATTCGTTATCTCCATATTTCATCTACAAATATGCATTTTGTTGTTCATGAAGCAATTCTATACTTAATCGTGTTGAGGAAAGATGCTATTTTAATTTTAATTTTCACATCACTCCTGCATGGCTTGGTTTTGGACAATAAAGGTTCAAAATTTTACATAGAAATAATGGCAAAATGATTAAATCGTCAGATCAGAGCAAAACGAAAAACTAAATGCAAATAAAAACAAAAAACAAACAAACCAAAAAAAAAAAAAAAAAAAAAAAAAAAAAAAAAAAAAAAAAAAAAAAAAAAGACTACAGATTGTCAAATTGATAAATAAATGAAGCATTATTAAGTATAGATTCAAGATTATTCAGCAATTTTTATTAGAAAATTCTGATATATTGAGGAGGAATGCACTATTCTGCCAATGATATTTCTTACTTTCTGCCATTTCAATACAGGGAGCTTTTTTAGGTAAACTGCGTTTTTGAAGTTTGAAAACAAAACTAATTCAATGCCTTTTTGTAAATACATGTGTATATGAATGAATGTGATATTTCATCAACGGTTAGTGGTGCCTACTTCAGCTATACCATCAAAATATTCCAAAAATATCACCAAATCGGCATGAATAAATTAATCTTGGGCAACATCTTGGCACACATAGATATTGTATTTCCTTTACATCCTCGCTCCGTGATATGAAGGTCGTGGGTTCAAACCCCTTTGAGGATGCCTTGGTGTAGAAGTAATGTAAACTATTGCGGGGATGTGTCAAACAAACTTTGACCCCCCCCCCCCCCGAACAATGATGATTCCATAGTATATTGTATACAATTTGAATTTCACTCATGTCATTTAAAACAAACTCTTTCTCACACAAATTTTGTTTTTGCTCCAGTTCGATTTTTTGGGTTTTTTCATCACTTTTTAAAACCATTCATGTCATTTCCACAATGATATTGTTTTCAGGATTTCCTTCTGCCAAGATAATAGTGATGTACATTAATATACTATTCAAAATTTAATTAGCAATCAATTTATTTCAATATAAAATATTGATCAGTTAATCTTAGTCGTTCACAAATAATCTTTATAAATTATGTAATGACTATGTGGACTTTTGATCAAACCAATACAATTTTAGAGGTCTAATCGCTTATTTTCTTAATATCTGTTTCTCTGTTGAGGAACAGTTTCGATAAAAATTTATGATAATTTCTTCGAATAAAAGATTTTAATTTATCTTGTACTGTGTTCTACGGTGGTGGCGCATTCTCACTGCAGATATTTGATTTTCTTTACTTGACTTTTTCCCCACTGAGCAACAAACAGATTGTCATTTGTATCTATACACAGTCCCATAGGTTCGCTCAGTCCACAGTTTATATAACAGAGGAGATGTCGATCCTGGTCTATGATGTGGACACAGTGATTGTTATAATCAGCTGTAAGGATGTGACTCTGTCTATGGTGATTCCTCGTGGTATGAAAGGTTTTTTTTTTGGAGCAGGAGTATATCGAGGGTACCTGAATCTCAGTTTCCCGGCCTGATTGACCACCACTACTGCTCTGGCTCCTTGTCAGGTCGGCAGGGGATGCTCACTCCTCCATGGCATATGATCCCACATCTGATGTTTTAGAGGTCCGTGTTTGCTCTGCTCCTGATTGGTATTGTTTGATTAGACTTTTGAGCTTGAATGATGTACGTTATCTCCAGATATATCATATTATAACCAATGATTTAAGGACTAAACAGATCCTGATCAGTTTTGAATTAATATCCATCATCAGTAAATCTCAGGAAGAATGTTAAACTTAACCAATCATCAGTAAATCTCAGGAAGAATGTTAAACTTAACCATGTTAAATTTTATCTTAACGTGTTAAACATAAATGAAGTGTTCATATTCTAAATAGCTAATAAGAAAAATGTTTCTTATTGATGCAGTGAAATGAAATGCATGAAAGCTACAAGTGGGTTGTCTTGGTTTGACATTTTCATTTACCTCATGCATGAAATTACGGGTTAAGGTGCGGGCAGATTTATATATATGAAATATATTTATTACAATTTCTCATTTTGAATAAATGTTTCTATTCCAAATAAATTAACTATGTCATTGAGAATAAAAGTTAAGCTAGTTTGTGTGCGCAGGTGGATTGAGTTGGTGAACACTTTTTTTGCTTTACTATCGGCTATGACTTCTCATTGGCTATTGTCATAATGAAAAATTAAAATCAGATCGTTTCTTTTGTGATAAAAGCGAGCCAAATCTAAAATTCAAATTACTGCAGATCCGGCGATTCCTGACTGTAGACTTTACCACCTCGCACAAAGTATTTTATTCAATGTTAATTGTCAATAACTTTGGTTTACAATTTTTCTTAGTAAATAAACGACTAAGATTATGAGCAATAAAGTTTAATATGTATTTACTTGTCATATGTAATGCATTACTATGTATAAATTGTATATATTTACTTTGATATTTTTTTGTAGAATCACCTTGTTGATATGTGAATAAATATAGAAACCATCATCATTTCCATCTTATATCACTCGGTCACAAAGGCACGGATTTTCAGAAAAATGACTAGCAGCACAGTTATTGCTGTATATCAATATTCAAGATTTATCTCAGTCTGTTCCAATAATTGCAGTTTCAGTACTTAACTGAATAGTTTTACTCATATGGGTCCTCCTGTGTGAGCTTTTTGTAGAAACCATTCTGTCCATCTATTTTGCAGAGTATCTCTCAATTCATTTAGAGTAAGGCGCTTATTGTGATTTTATAATATACATTTATTGCATGAAACATGAGACATGGAGATTTCTTTAACCATGAAATTCATATTCCCCGAGGGCTATTCTAAATGATTGTAAATAAAACACTTTACACGTTTGAATCGACACAATCAATCAACGATATGAACAAGTTACCATCTCATTGCCCCATGGTGACGCCACAATCCTGAAGCACGACGTTTTATTGCAGGGCGAACACGATGGTCATGTGACCTTTCCGGCCAATCAGATTCTGTTTTACTAGTGATTATTTATATAAAGTATAATTATAAAATTTCTCGTAAAAATATACATATAACAGCATTTTGGAAGAATTTCTTTTGATGTGTCAAAGCTCCATTCCTTTGTATGTATTTAGTCACACATGTACTTTAAGAAAGGAAATTCTTGACTCATTTATTTCTGCAACTTTTAAGCATTTATGGAGTATTTAATATTGCGTTTGTAAAATATTAATCAAGAACAAACTTTAGCGATGTTTTTACCTTCTGTACAATGTATACAAATGTACATTCTACAAATTCTGCAATTTGGAAATTTTCTTCAGCTTCACAAAATAAGTTTTGTTCCTGTATACTTTTTATATCATTACCAGTTTACAGGGTGTACACTTTAATATGTCTAAGAACTGCCAAATGATTAGGCCACCGCATCAAGATTTTTACCTACGTAAAAATAAGTTAACAACAAGATTTAAAGCAGTTCTACTAATTAATTTTCATAAAATATGTACATTGTATTAAAATATTTATAATAAAACAAGAATTAATAATTATCAATGTGGACAAATTTATCAATATGATAACATGGAAGGAGGCAGTTTATCCATACAAACTACTTATGGTTCAAAATATCAACAGAGATCTGAAACAATGGATGACACTGCAACAAAAATAAAGCAGGAAGACATACGTGGAGGACTATGGGTGATGAAAATCTTGAACATATTCAACATCTTAATAATTCATGGTAGTATACAATAACAAATTAAAAATTCTCAAGAAAAAAACAATATCTAGCAGTTCTAAACTTCACAACATGTAAATTTTATAATGGTAAAAACATTCATAAAAAAGACTCCCTCTTTCAACTTTGTCTCTGTCTTCTAAAAAAGATTCTTTCCACATGATTGTACAAGACAGGCCAGATTAACAAGAAAATAAGAAAAGAATCAAGTACTCAATCATACATGCTGAAGGGTTTTTTCCCTTAGATTTCTTCAATTTCTCCTTCTGCAGCTAAAAATGGAATACACATCAAATTTAAAATATAGCTGCGATTCACAGAAATCATGTTAAATGCTTAAATACCCGGTACTTATTTTGTCGCAAACACCTTAACTCGGAGTTTCTTCGATAAGAGTAGATACATGTAGATATCAAATTCTGACACAACACCATTTACATAAAAAAATAGCATTGCAGACATGATGATCAGCATTGAAATTAACTAATCTAGAGCAGGTACAGCAATGAGACAAGATGTATGTTTATGCAGGCAAGTTTATTAAAAATACAAAGTAACCACACCCTATTTCTCTATCTCCTCCATTTGTACACTAGCATTATTGCCTATTGACTGAACAAAAATTTATGCTAATGAATGAATGAAAGAGATTTGTGTACCTTGCAATTGACTTTTGCCAAATTCTCCTTCTATTCCTCCGCCACGCCCTCCTCTTCTGAAACGACGTCTGACTGTGAGGCGGCTGTAGCGACCACTACTTCCTCTACATCTCCGGCCTGGATATTCTGTGTTTACAATTATACTGACACACAAAAGAAACTCAACATCTTATTTAAGGGGAAAAATTACATATGGGTATAAATCTGTACTTTAAAAGTAAACACATCTTCGAATTTGGCCGCCCGCTTGGCGCAGTGGTTAGAGCGTTTGTTCAAGAGTCGCGGAGTTTGGAGTTGAACCTTCCGTCGCGGGTTCGAATCCCACTGTGGGACGCGGAAACCGGTCCTTCGGCTGAGACCGTACCGTGTCGCAGTAGATGCTGGCACGAAAAAGATCCCTCTCTGCTCAACTGCCCTCAGCGCCGAGTATAGGTCGAAATTTGCAGCTCTCCATCGGCAAATGGCGGTGTCTCCATATGAGTCAAAAATTCGCAAGAGGAACGTTAAACAAACAAACATCTTCAACTTTGCGAAATCGGTAATTTAACGGTTGAATGATTTTCATCCCATTAACGGAAGTTTAATTAGGCAATGATATTGGTTCTAAAGGGATTGTATGTGTTAATCAGAAGTATTGTAGTAATAATCTCCTTTCTTTTTCCAAAAGTGATACCAAGGCTTCCTCAGAAAGACTGAAAGCACGCATTTCCCATTGCTCTAGCTGGAAATTCTCAAAATAAAGCAGGAGAGTTGCAGATGCAATATGATTTACATCATGCCCATATGTATCATTAGCATGAATGCCAGTCCATAGACTGGAAGTTCAGGGGTTACTACACAGTTTCGAGAAAATTCGACTTCAGCATCTAAAAAAGCGTTACTATCTTTTTGAAAAGATTACTTTTAAAAGAGTCAAGCAGGCACTTAAAAATACCAAAGAGTATTTCTTTCGATCAGATCAAGAGATCAGTGAACCTAATGTATCGTAGAAATCGAACTCAGTTGTTGTGCGGACTTACTCGCTTTAATTGAGTGACCGGAGGGGGGGGGGTGTTTAGCAGTTATGTATTACTTTCTATAGTTTAAAGATAACATTCAACGTTTGAATCAAATCTCTGATGTTTAAAAATCAAGTTTTACCTTACTGTATTTATTTTTGAAAACTATTAGATAAAAAATTCAGATATTTGTAGTTCACTGCTTGTTGCGTTTCTTTTGCGTGGCAATATATAATTTGGTATATTGTTCATGAAGGAAACTTTTTTTTTTTTTTTTTTTTTTTTTTTTAAGAAATACTTATTTGATCACAAATTGATACCCTATCAACATGTAAATTGCTAGTATTTCAAAGATATATACCACAAACAAATTTTCTTATCTCTCATACAGAAGGGTTACATTGCTATTTTTTTATCAATAAAAATTTAATTAGGAGATTTCAATTGTGTAAAAATGTTATAATGGACTCGTTAAAATGTTACCAGAAAATTTCGAGTTACAAAACATCATATATTTTAAGAACTTTTCAAAAATTGCACTGAACTGTAAAGACACATTTTCTCATTTTTCACCAAATTATGTGGCTTGCCCAAATATTAAGTTGTTTAAGTACAAGGATATCACTTCTTTAATAAGAGAGGCACATACTTAAGCAAAGATATTTGAATTTTGGAGGAAAAAAATTGTTTGTGTTATTTATCCTTAATTTTTAATACGTCTTCTTTTCTCAGCAAAGTCTAGTAAGATTGTTTGACCATCAACTTCCTGTCCTTTCATGGTATTAAAGGCTTTCTCAGCTGACTCTACCGAGTCAAATTCCACAAACCCAAACCTATAAAATTAAATACATTGGAAAAATTACCATATCTCTATCATTAGATTATTTCCTATGGTATGATGATTTGAGATCGCCTACAATTTACCCTTTAGATCTGCCAGTGTCACCCGTCTCCATGGCCACTCTGGCAGCAGAACATCCTTCAAAAGCTTCAGTCAAGCTGTCTTTTGTGGTGGAGTAGCTCAAGTTCTTCACAAACAGAATCCTGGTTGAGTCTACAAGGGATAATCAAAATACACCTATAGTACATTATAACACAAAGAGAGTATTTCTTAGTATTTTAAATTACTCATTTTGCACTGTAATTTTTGCCTATTTATCAGCTGTAATATCACATAATTATGTAACACGTTTAATTTTTTAATGTCAGTATTTAGCTGCTTTGTCTCATGGTAAGTCAACTTATTTAGATTTGATTGACTTGAGTAGTATTTGTTGATTGATGTTATGTCATTGATGAGTTTCATGTTTACAAAATCTTCACCTGTCCGGATTTCTTCATCACTAAGATAATCCACCACCCTTTAAATGTATCGTTTCCCAGAGTCTATGATGACCATTTTTTGTTCATTGAGCAGCTGTTTGACTGGAGGAGATGATCCAGCTTCTGGCGATTCCTGTGTTATCTCCATAGTGTAGCCTTGTACATCTGAAGTTAGTGTACCTGAAGATAAAGCTCCAAACATTTTACAAACATAATCTTCTTGGATTCTTTCTGGTTTAAATCTTGGTAGACAAGGTACAATTTTTTGTGGAAGTTGTCTATATTCTTTCAAATTGGATTTCATACAAAGGAGTTGGAAAGTGTCTTCAGAGTTTAAAACAACCTCAAGTGAATTTATTTCATTCCTGATTTTAGAAATGTTCTGTTTTGTTCCATCCAGATGTTTCATTAGAGCTTGTAGCTGGGTTTTCTTCGTCTCATCAAGTTCAGCTTGAAATTTATTGACAAGTTTGTCAATTTCTCTGTGCCATTTCTCTCCATGTTGTATTATGGTTGTTAGGAGATCTTCATATTCCTTTTCTAATTCAGTTATTCTCTTTTCTATATCACATTCAATGTTCTGATAAGTTGGATAAATTGTTTCATTTAATTCATTTTGTTCTTTGAAAAAGCTGTCCCTTTTTTCTTCCAAAACCTGCAACATTTCTGATAATTTATGACCTAAATGTTGATCAGATACAAGGCATTTAATGCAAAGAGGAATATCACATTGTTTACAGTATATTTTACATCGTTCTTTATTGTGTGTTATACATCTAGGGTAGAGGGTTGTAGATTTTCTGTTCTTAAAGTCTACAATTTTATGAGGTTCTGAGAGATCAGCTGAAGCATGTTCTCCCACACAGGCCTTACACAGGTTGACAAGACATGTATCACAGTGCATCTGTACCACAGCGGTCTCGCACAGGTCACATCGCATCACATCCTGGGCACTGGTGCGAGGGTCCATATTTAAACCCTAGGCTCTGAAATTACATAATATGTAAAATAGATGATCATATCAAGTGTCTTGGAGAGTTTTGTTAACAAATTAAGAAAGAAAATACACTAAATCAGAAAGATAAAACCTAGTGTACTACACACACTACCACAAACTCTAACATTGTTCTATCAATGTTTGTTTGTTTGTTTTTGGGGTTTTTTGGTCTGTGTTAAATATGTATTAAACCTTTTCAACTTAAAAATGAATATGAATAAGCATAATATGTTCTCAATTGAGACAATTTTGAATAATACTCTTCTTTCTATTGTGTGTGGGATGGGGGTCATGATTAAAATCATGTCAACTGCAGTAAAGGCGTAAATTACAGAATCTCTCATTTCCTTTGACTAGAATAAAAGTATGACTTTAACCATAATGTTGTTCCAAGTCAAAACATTGTTGACATTTGATAAACCCTCTGATAACGCAAAGGTTTATAATATTTGAGGTCAGGTTATGTTAATGGAACCCTCCCATTTAGAGATGCTTTCCAGGAATATTAGTTTCAGTAATCAAATTTTTTAAAATATTTAGTTCTGTAAGTGGTTTTTAAGAGCTCCATATAAAGTCTCTTAAGAAAATAATGGATAAACAAGAATCCAAAAAAAAAATAAATAAAATAAATAATAATAATAATACCTGACTTAACGAGTATGGCGGGTGTCCTGTTGATGTTGATCTATATATAGATTATCTCTGTGTACTTTGATCACTTGTCACCTGTATAATATACCTGTCAGGTATTTTTCTTTCTGGTTGTTGTGTACTGGTATTTAAATATAAGCAAACAATCTATATTTTCTGTTGTGTCTCAAAGCATTTTTTCATTATAGTGTTAAATTTACTAACTTTTCATATGGACGGTACAATTTGCAAACGTTATTCCACAGGGTTTATTATTATTATTATCAATAGGAGAAAGAGCATAAATCATTGGAATGTTGGAAGATGATTAAATAAATGCATTAAGTTCAGCTTGGTGGTTGAGATTTGTAAATGAAATGAAATGAAATGTTAGTCTTTTCATGCTTGATATAAAAAGAAATCGAGGGTAGGGGGCGGGGTAGAGACACATTATGTATACGTCACCCTTCTGGCATCTGGCATTCTGCATATGGTAAGTCATAAATACATTTTGAAAAAAATTCAGTTGCTTTTTGAGCCGATTTAACCAATTTAGATAGTTAGCATCTTGGATGAAGGAAAACTAAAATTGCCGTTATCATAGTCCCATTCGCCTTGGGCTTCCACTAATTTGTGAAAGTCCTGAACTTTGGATCCAGGGACTCAGGTTCACGCCTTATAGTGGAGAAAGGTTGGTTTTGTGTTGAAAATACTTGATGACAACTTTTAAAACATTCTTTTATTTCTTGAAGCAAAATGCTTGGTTAGGTGATATATTGAATAAAACATTAATTTTTGAGACCTTTTTCAGCTATGGATATCCAAGTGGCAAACTGCATGGTAAGTATGAACACAAAGCCCTGTACCGAAATTATATGATTTTTGCCCTCTTCGTCTAGGGCTTTGATTTCATGAGGCCAACTTGGTTATATTTTGTAAAAACATTAACACTTGGATAATATTTCACTTATGATCAAGTAGCAAGCAGACTGTTTGCAGGCTCTTAATGAGTATGAAGCTCTTTGAAAACAATGTGAAATTCTTTCTCCCTGGGTTGAGGTCCCAAGGTGGGGATGTGTTGTATGTTGAAAATTATATACTATTACACAGTTAGTATACATGTACCTTCACTTGTGATAATAAGTCCATAGATTTCAGACAGGCTAAGTTTTTCTTCTTTATGTGTTTTAACTTTAAATATCTTTATACTTTAAAGCATCTAGGAGACAAGCTTCGAAAGAAGTCCGATGAAACACAGAGTCACCTTGAATTTTTAATTCATATCATAGAGTTTAGAATAATTTAATCCCAAAATTCACCTTTCATTAGAAAGAGCAAGTAAACTTCACAAGTGTTGTCTATGTTCCTGTGTTCAATCCATCTGCATAGTGCACTTAATCAAAATGGTTGGTGTCGCATTACATAAGATAAAGAAAGGTTAATATTTAACTATTTCACTATTAACTAGTGTTACAAACATAAAAAATCTAACGAACATTTCAATTTTTCTGCATTGATATATCTTTACCTACTTTTTTTATTACAGGATCTCTACAAACCTGGCTTTTCCTACATTGAGGGTTGTTTTTACAATGATTTCCGTGACAGTGGTGCACTTGATTACAGCCAGTAAATACCTTTTTGTTACACTTTAAAGAACCTACATATATTGTACATAATCTGGTAGAAAAAATATTCTGGATATTACCTGAAATATATATATATATATACAGTCAAACCTGTATTAAGAGACCTTCCAACGGAGAAAGGAAAAAAGGTCACATATGACAGGTGGTCTCTTAATACAGGTTGCTTATTTTCTGCAGTGTTCAAATATACAATGCCTGAAAAAATTATACATGTATGTGGAATGTATTTTATACCATGTACTGTGTATTTCCACTTTTCAATAAGTACTGCTCTACTGTAAATGCTTGTATATTATGGGTAAAATTGTCATGTTCGGTAATAAAATTTGTGCTTGATACGCACATGAGTCATATTAATTATTGAGAAATATTGAATATCTGAAATATTTAAGATTTTTTAATCATTTTAAATAAGTTGTAAAGATTTTCTTCTTAAAATAGATTTTTTTTACACTAGGCTATAGTCTATTAAACTTCGTAAATTCTGCGCATTACTAAGAATTTTAAATTGTGTCATGATTTTTGTTATGCATTTGGTAACAAATGAAATGACATTTATAACGTAAAATTTATTTATCCTAATTAATTTTTGTCAAGTCTTTTTTTGTGATTTTTTTAAGATTTTGAAAAAATTGGCATTTTTGGAATGTCGTATATTTAGACAAAGTCCTTTTCAATATCTAAGTATCTTGATGAAGCTTGAAATGTCCGAGATGTAGTATTATGCAGACAATGCCCTTTTCGAGATTTGTAGGTACTTTGATGAAGCTGGCGGGATCTGACATATCTGACACATGGTCTATTCTGTAAATATCTTGATTACGTTAGCATGGACTGGGACCTTATATACTCGGATAAGCCCCTTTTCAATTGCATGATCCGTATTAACTTGATGAAGTCGGCAAGGTGGTGAAGTGTTGTATAATGCAGACAAAGCTTTTTTCCAGAGCTATTAGTATCACGATGAAGCTAAGCATGGTCTGGGATGTATTATTCAGACAATCTCTTTCAAACAAATAAGTATACTTTCAACGAAGTTTGGCATGGTCTTAGATAGTTTATTCAAACAAGATCTTCTTTGCCTTTTCAGGATTTGTAAAATTATAGTATTTTATTGAAGCTGGAAACTCGTTTTAAATACAAGTACAGAAACTGTTCATATAATTTTCAAAAGGATATATCCTTGCAATTTGTTTTGAGTTGTCGTATTATGCAGACATAATATATTTGATATTTGCAATTGGATTTAAGCGAAACTACTGCTCGTACGTGATTATATTTTAATTGCTTAACTACTAATATAGCATTGTCTTGTTTATTCTGCATATATGAGGTTATATTGTAATGGTGCTTTTTATAGGTACAAGCTCTTTGCGATTCTGAGTGTTTAGAAAGTGTTTTCAGGAATAATAAAGCGGTTTTAAATCGCAATCTGATTTTGAAATTTTTTGATCGAAATATTTTTTCAGATATCTTTAGTCAGGAGAGACGGGCTTCTACCAGGATGTTTGCAAAACCTTCACTGAAGGATTTGTCTGATGACTTCCAAAGCTGCGTTTAAAATCAAGGTACGGACAAATCACGAATACTAGTATTTCGATCTAGTCTAAACCAAACAGGTATAAGGTTTACATTACTGGTAGGTGTAGTTCAGTTCATTTGTCCTCAAGTGCTAATAATCAAGAGATGTTTAGAAAAGGTTAATATTAATTAATATTAGATCAGATGAGTATATGATTATATTTAGATTTATTTCGTATTGTAAAAGTTATTCTTATGTACTTGGAAGTCACAAATAACAGCAAAAAAAATTCTGTGTGCACTTTAACCTGGTAGTTTATATAAGTATTTTTAGTCTTTATTTTTAGTCTTTTCAAATTGGGGTGCTATCTCAACTGCAAATGCTGATATATGTATGTATGATTAATTGATCATACATACAGGATACAACAGGATAGAAGTCGCTTGAGTTCAGCTAAAGACGTTTTGTTAAGGAGAAAAGAGGAATTTTACTTCAGCTTCTCAACCAGGAAGGATAACTATTATTTAATTCAGAAAGTCTCAAAAGGAAGCTTGAAACTGCAATCTTTTTATGCAACAATTTGCATTTCATGTATCTTAATGTTATTGAAAGTTTTTTGAACATATTTAAAGAATTAGTAGAATTTCCTTAATCTAGCCTTAAATACCAATCTTTATAAGTTTGATATGAATTTAAGAGATTTATGAAGTTTTGCCATGATAGGAAATGCTTTATAAACTATACATTATAATAAACTTGCAGTAAATAGAAGAAATTAAAGTACCGTAGAAGAATAAAAATCATGCAGTTTTCTTCAAATGCTTGGAAACCTATATTTTTTTTATCCTAAAATATGTTTGTTGATCAATTTTCAATTTGAAAATGCATAATAGGTGTTTTTATTTGCATTTCCTGCAAATTTATTCTAGATTTATTAATTTTCCTGTATAATATGACTTTCATTATGAAGTTTGAAGAATGACCGTGAGTAAATACATATCACTTTGAGAATTCAGAGACATTTTTGAGATAATTTTCTATTATTCAAGGTCTGATTTTCAGAACCTTATAATCGGATTACCTTAAGGTCTGTGACGGTACATATTGTCGTTTTGTACATATTGTCGTCGGCGAAAATATGTACCTACTCACACTGCACATATTGTCGTCCA